GCCGGTTGCCTGTACTTGGCGCGAGACTCGACCGAGTCTCTTGATGAACTATCCCGTGTAGAAATTTTGGAGAGTACACCGGGTGTCAGGGATGGCCTTAATCGGGAATTAACATAGTTTCTCTATTTACCCGAGTAAAAATTGAATCTCCGAATTGCTAAGACATCATCCAGCCGATTTTAGTCTTATTGCTTTAAAATCTAGCGATGATGTTGACGAATTAACCAGTGGGCTAGATCGTATCTCATAATATTAATATTTTGTAGTTAGTTAGCTAAAATGTGTCAGTAGCTAGACAAAACCGTAATAAAAAAAAATATTATTTCTTACTCTTATTAGGTTAGTATTCCAAGCTTTTACCCAGGAAATTCTATGAATTTTCTGTGTGTTCCGGAGGTGTAGTGCTGTGCCCTAGTGCAATGCCCACCTTAGTGTCCTTTGGATACAATTCTCGGCTTTTACGTACTAGTTGTACCAGCTCCGGTGAGGACTCCCAATTTATTAATTGGTGAAGGGATTTCGATTGATAGTTCAGATTCGTTCTGTTACGTTCTCGATTCGTCGCTCATTGTATGTCGCACTATTTGCCTGACTCTTACTCCGACGTTCTCTACCTCAACTTAGTAGCCTGAGCGGCCGTGCATTTCCGTAACTGTCCGCTCCGTTTCGTGCATCCAGTTGCGTTTTCTGATTTTACACGACCCCAAAAATCAGCACCTACGGTTGTGTTTCTTGATTTTACGCGTCCCCAAAAATCGACAGGATCCGTTAAGTTATCGTCTCTTCTGATAAATTCCGTCAGAGCTCTCGTTTCGGTGGAGTTGGACCTGTTCTACCCCAACGCCAAGTTCATACCGGCTCGTCAGTTCCCAGTGAAAAATGAAATAGATGGCGCCCGCCTGGCTTGCGGATGGATGAGTTAAGGGTTGACGGCCGAAGGTAACGTAGGCTGGTTCTCGATATAGTTCATTCTCGGGTGTTTCGCTATCGGTGTCGAGTCAAGAAAAGAGATACGTTACAATACCTACATTTAATTGAATGAGACATTGCAGCCATGCTCGCGGTGCTAGCAATCAATTTCAGACCATATGTATTGTAATGTGACAAATCGACCAACCTCTCAGTACTCCTGTACTGAGAGCGCACTCGTTACAAACAAACAATAAGGACCGGCGACTAGTGTCAACAATAGCCAGTAGATGAAAAACTTCTCCCGAAAGTCAATCCGCGGAAAATAATATAAACAAAATGCGATATAGGATTAGCGCTTCCCGCTAATTGATCTAGCATTTTAATTAGTTAAATAATGCATTTCAAATCAATTTAAGATATTCAGAATACAAAATCAAGTATTTAACATTCTACCAGTACACCGAACGTGAGTAATAATAAAGTAAGCGTGACTTAAATCCGAAAAGATAATGCACAGCAACATCGTTATAAGGTGTTTGAGCTCGATTTACGCCCTCTGGGATAAAGCATAGTAATTACATAAAATCGTTGTTAAGAATTTTGTCCGAGGCTACGGCATACTAGCGCTCGCTATTCCGCTATAAAGTTCTAAGGAGAGGACTGTGATTTACCTCAGACACTTCAGTTGACGCCATATTGATTTCGATCTATTATCCTTGCTGTGATTAGTCAATTCGCACATAATGCCATATCCAATAAATAGGCAGAGCGCCACCAGGGCTTACCGTACTAAACAGAGAGATAGGAATAGACAACAAGTATAGGACGCTTCCCTATGACAATCCTTTCTTACAATACCGACGTTTATTACGGACGATTGTAATTAACACACATAGAAAAAGTGTTATACCTGTCATCGATAATTTAATAAATCTTTGTTATTTTATTTTATCATTTAATCGTGTGTCGCCTAAGTTCTTAAAGACGCCAGCCTCGAGCACTTATTTCGTACATTCATAAGGAGTGTACGAAATTGCACTATCGATAAACGTTACAACATATACCCTAAGTATTTTTTAAATTAGAATAGCTAGATACTTATTAAACAAGAGATATACTTGTTATTTATGCAACAATATACATAACCTCAGTGAGTTCGAACGTGACCATGGTTGGCGAATCAATGAGAAATGGATCACTAGATAGTATTTTCATGGAAAATGTACGCCATCCATAAGTAAGGATAGCTAGATACTCTCACGGTAAGTACTAGATGCCTATGCCACATAATGACATAAACTCACTTTTCATTTGTGACCATAATCGGCTAGCCAACGACTGTGTCAACATTACAAAATGAACTTAATACGTTTCAGCGCCATCTGTACGTTGGTGAGACTACATGCTCCCTAGACAAGAACTGAAACTTATTTACGAAGCGGCATAACCTCACTTTTTGAGTCAACAGTCAAATTAGCTAGGTAATACTAAGGCAATGACTACATCTATAAGTAATATTCGTTGGATAGTCCGTAGGCTGGGGTTACATAGTAATACAATAACGTCCAATTGAAGTGCAACACTTGAATTTTTGTACATTTCTGTGAAAGTATGACAGATTTCGAAAAACCAAAGACATATTTTTTAGGAAATTTCCTTGCCGTTCGAATGGTAAAGGTTTTATCCCGATCGGATATAAAATGGCTGAATGGCAGGGGTTGGAGTGAAAAAGTGCATTTTGGAACTTTTTAAAACTTCGAGAACTAGTAGTTCCGGAAGGAAATTTATATTTCTAATTATGGCACGAGATTGGCATTCTGAGTGCTAATACTCGGCTGAATAGTAAATATCACTATACTCTTTTCTCCATGTGGATATTGCTTAGATATTCCCAAGAACGTTACCCTAAATTCACTGTTAACATTCTATGTACTGCAATTTGGAGGGAACTTTAGATATCAGATAGAATGTATTCACTATGTCAAGGTACAAATTGAAATGTTGTGTAGATATTCCTGCCGGTACATGTAAAACTACTGCCACGTTCTACGGGTGTAAAACTACTACTTGGGAATATTCATAGGTATTCGGTGAGCCTCTCAGCTTTTAAAAGTAAAGTATTGATGTGATCGCTCGACGAGAGAGGTTAGATGGAGAAGGTAGAAATTGGTGGAATCGCCGGCGTCCCTTCGCGTCGCATCACGACGCAGCACGTCTCGCCGTTCAGTCGCTTCTCGTCTACGGTTGTCTACGGTTCTGTACGGTCCTTTGTGATCCCTGCATCATCCTCCAAGTTCTCATTCAACCTCTTTCATTTCTTCTACACTTTTTCATCGGGTTTTTTATGTTATACAATTGTAATACTGGTATTCATATTCAAAATTGTGTAATCGGAGCCATCTTCGGTTGATAAGGGTCGCTATCCCAAGTCTCTTGTTGCCATTTGAAGTCACTGCTGGACCAAATATCGCCAGTTTTACGCTACATTGCTAATGAATCTCGCGTACGAAGAAAAAAGATATAAATAGAGTTAATCCTATCGATAGTACATGAAAAATCAGAGGCAGATAATATAAGTTGAGTGGCAAGAAAGGAGCAGATGCAAGAGCTATGACAGTTTAGTGGAAAATATGCAATGACATGTTTATTGCCATCAAGACTCATACAATTATAAGCCGTTATAAGACGAAAACTGTTAAGGATTACTGAAAATTCTTAAGGATAAGCTGCCTGCGATGCGTTGAAGTTTTAATTTTCTTCATTTCGGTAAGTACATATAAAGAGTAGGGAGTAGTTTTTCCAGCTGAGTTAATAAGTTCTAAAATAAGTTTTGCACGTACGATGCAAACGAACTGCATACTTGAATAACGTTTCGCAATGCGATCAAGAAGTCTCATCATAACGTCACCAAATATGTGATTAACTAGTTGCTCTACTGCGAAACATTTGACAGAACTGTGATATCGATCGAACCGGCAAACCGACGAGTACTGACTTCTGAGTTATTAAGCCGGGCGACGGATTAATGCATATTGATGAGTTTACGTATTAATTCCGCCTTCACCCCTAACCTCAACTATCAGTCCCTCTAGCCGCCACGACAAGCACACATATTCTTGAACCCACGAGCCTTTAGCCTCACTCTTATTGCGATCAATCGCATCTTCCCAACGTGCCTCCCATCATCTTACAATTTCAAATTAATAGAATATGTTGTGCACATCGTCACATTGTAATTAACGTGGATGGAAAACGGAATAATAATATAATATATATAATATTTGTGTATCTGTATAATAATATAATATATGGCATAATAGTATAATACCGGCCTGAAAAACAGGTATAATCATATAATAAATATCTCTCTAGTCACGTAGCGAGTTTGTAATTTCTTTTTAAGATATTGAATTATTAAACCAATAATCGAATCTCTTTCAAAGAATTGTCTGGCATTAGGTAATAGCATCATTGTCATTTATTATGGAAAAAGTTATAATCGGTATTCGAGGCTAAATATTCTCCTTCCAGGAAGCCGGATGAGCCTTCATCACAATCTCTCTACGTTTGCGTAATCAATCAATAAGTCTGTTGACAGTTTGGAAAATTCAAATTCAAATATATGCTTAGCATCAACTACTGATGAACCAAATATCTTAATTGCAGCGGGCGTACCAATTTGGGATCACCTAATTACCAGTTTCTAGTGCTATTACAAACACTTATCTATTAGATCTATTATATCCGGATATTCTCCGACCTTGGAAGTCACGCACTCGCGCCTTTTAATTGCTAAAGAACTTTTGTCAGTTCTTTGAGTTCATTAAGTCATTGTAAATGTTCTTGGTACATGACTCGACCGAGATATCCTCGGTTTAATGTTCGATAAAGGTCAAGTTAAACATTACGAGGCTCCTAATTCACATAAATAGTGGCATATTCTCAATTTTATAACTTGAGTGACGCACCGAGAATCCCTTTAATAGTGCATTAACCAAGTAGGAGGCCTCTGAACAGTGTTAACAACACGAATGGCGTTTAGCTCGATACCCATACTGATAGTTGGTAGAACTGATAGTTCACTGGTGAGAGTGTCACTCCTGTCTATTCTGTTCCTTCGGAAAACCTTTGGTATTCAGTTCAAAGAATTTTAAAAATAAAAGAAAAATAATTTGAATAATTGTTTTTGATAGATAATTTCAGCCCATTTATATCACCTAATATCTAATTAGGGGATTCCATAGCATAACACATTGCGTGTTCTAGGCGATACTTTGTAATAGGAGCGATCATCGTTAATAAGCATGAATATTCCACCAGCATTGTAAAGACAAGTCCAATGAAATTGCACTAAAGTTATTGCGTTTTGTAGGTGTGCCGTTATTTGAGAGTGTCCGCAAACAGTTGATTAGTGATCAATCATTAAGTCATTATCTTAGCTCTTTTATGACTGGCCGTATTCTTTGTTTGTTAAATGATGGATAAACCGGCATATAAAATGTAATTGATCGATTCGTGCAGAACGAAATGACACTGAAATACATGTTAGATTTTACCAAAGACTTTACAGTATTTTCAAATGGCTTTTAATGTATATCATACCTTTCATTTCATGTTTCATTTTTTTATAGTCACGTTTGAGTGCGTCATTGTTTGCATTCTGTTATACTATAGGTTGCTTACCCAACCTTGGGTGGAGTACTACGGCTCGTTAATAGATGTAGTAGTGTTAAGGTGAAACAAACAGGTTAGAATGAAAGAAATAGACCAGAAATTAGAATTTGACATAATCAAAGGGAAAATAAATTTGCGTAACTAGAACAATGAAACCTTGGATAAATGAGAGCGCCCCTATCATCGCGTTCGTTTTTTTGTATGGCTTGCATAATAAGAGGCATACGAGAATATTTGGCCGCAACAACTGATTTGTTAATGGCCCTGTAAATATAATTGCAGAATTCTAAAAGCGATTACGTACGATTGGGCCAGAGACACAGTTTCTGCAAAATTTGTATTGACCGGGCTGTAGTTGACAAGTAAAATTAATCAGTCTACCGTGTAAGATCTATTCTTTACCTTCGTCAAAAGAGTTTGTATACGCAATAACCACGAACAAAAACTCGAGCATTCAAACAATTTTATTACTTCAAAGTCTCATGCCACAATGTCCATAGCCAGAAGCAGAGCCACAGCGATCATCCAAATAAAAATATTTATTCTCTAAGTGGTTCTGGAGTGGTTTCAATTAAATTTCAATAATCCATTTTATGTCTGCCTACGATCTTTCTGGATTCTAACTTGAAAAAGATTCGTGAAAGTATGTATCAATCTCTGCTGAGAAGCCGTGTGAAGATGATTTAGGTGGGCTCACATTATTTTTTCCTTTTACATATGTATGTACTGAGGCATTACATTTTTCATTGTTCCAAGACAAAGACGATCTAGTTACTTTCCGGATTTACATCCCTTTTACCAAAATTCTTGTTGGCGACATTGCAGGGTAAAATATTCTTTGTATTTATTTCCTTATCTTATACTTGTAATATTTTATTTTTATTTTGTACTGACAAGTGGACGGGCCCACCTACGTTAGAGAGATTTCTGACTGTTCAGTGATTCTCTATCCCGCATAGAGTGATTGCATAAAAGAGACAGAGAAAGAGGAAGATCTCTCGAAGGTGTAGAACAATTTTTGGTTTTGGTACTTGCAATGATTAAGAATTCCAAGTATGGTTATCATCCACGCTCTGTATTTAGTCAAAGATTTCTACAAAGAGTAGAAAGAGTTCCTTTGCTTTATCAAAAGCAAAGGAGTTTTCGAAGAAACCAGAGTAATTCGACAGCAGCGGATCGTTAATACCGAAAATATATATTACCGACCGCATGCGTTTCTACCAGGAACTAACGATATAATGTTTAAATCGTCTGCAACGAACTGACGACAGAGCCGTGTGGTACGTTACGGAGTGTTCAATGGATTAGCGCAAAATCAAAGTTCATGGAAGGAGCATCCTCTAGAACTCCAGTCTGCCGAAGATTAGCCTTATAGTTATAAGGGACGACATAGATGCCAGAAAAGCGATAGTTTTCTCCTGGTCGCCTCAGCCTACCGTAATCGTAGCGCAATCCAACGACATCGCGCATTGTAGTTTTGAGATGCTACTATATTTCAAGGAGACAGGTGTTATCCATAAAAAGGGAAGTACCGTGTACCAGCACAATCCTGGATGGGATTTAGTTTCAATAGTCTACTCGAGGGAAAGAATATAGGGAACAGCCAATCCGCCAATTGAAATCAACGCACCAATATGGATCCTGGACGACAGCAATTATCCTCTATGTAATATCACTCATATCAGCCAATCATTATTGTATAAGGCGAAATTTACCGAAACGCCATTGCTATGAACGAAGAGAGAATCGTTATTATTCATATTACCGTCAGTGCGAGAGCTCATCTATTAATTTTTATAAAGCGCATCTATCATGTTAAAAAGTCTTAATTATCTTTTTCTTTCAAGAACCAACCTCAATACTCGTGACAATCTTTTTCCTAGTGCTATCACTGAAGTGCTTCTTTGCAGTATATAGAGTATTTAGACGGCGTCTTAAATTGTATCTTAAACGTCACAGCACAGCACTCCTGTGATTACAATTGATTTTTCTAAATATTTATTAAACTTATATAATATTTACCCTGAGTGTCTCATGCGATCGAATCTAAAATCTTATCGTCTCTTATAGGACGTTACTTGTTTGTTACCGTTACATCTATCCTAAATTTCATTATAATGAATCAATTTTTTTTGCCTATGATTATTCCGGTTATATGAAGATTATTCTTAAGATTATTCTTAATCATACATCTTTTTTTAATCTTTTGATTATTCACTGTTATTATTGCCAAATTTTACATACAGAGGTTTACTGCTCATTCGAGTGAGTCCCAATATATTTTTTGTCAAATTTAATTTTGTTTATTTTCAGTAATACATATTTTAGTTAGCACGTTCTTGACTTTACGACACCAGTCCGTTTACCAGTAGTCGACTAGTAGTCTAGTCACTAAGTAGTCGACTAGCGGTAACACTGACGTCATGAGGTGATCGACTAGAAATTTTCTCGTTGTGCGCTATAAGGACTCAATCGGGAATACGAATAACATGCCCCAATAAGGTATGATCTCCTTATCAGTAAAATATGTCGCTTGAAAGAATTATTTAACAGAGTAATGTGATCGAGTGTAGATCATAATCCAATAAAGTTAACTTGTTATCAAAATGTTTCGCTAAAAACGAAGTCCAATAAGGTCACGTGATCGGGTCAAAGTCGAGAACGTACCACTTTAAGTTATTTTAAATATGTGTAAACTTAAGGCATTTTCTTGTTTTACTATGTCTTTTTACGACCCATTCATTATATTTGATATTATTTGTATAATATAGATAAACTCACGAATCTCCTAATCGGCATATCATATCAGATATTACATATGTATATGTATACTACTAGACAGCATTCCATTGCATCATTGAAACTACTGGATTACCTGTAAATTTGTGATACAGAATGGTTTGTTACTCAACAGCCGGCATAACATTTTAACATTATATGTAGAAGTTAGATTCCGTTTGCGATCTCTGATCAAGACTTCATGAAGTTATCTTAATCGAGCAGAAATTTCTCAGAGCTTTAATTTCTTATGGTGTTGTATCCGTGAGCTCCGCGAATGCTCGTAGATTCTTTCGGAATTGCAAATTCCGATT